TCGGGGTATTTTACTTAATAATTTACTGAGTAAATAATATACTAACCAGTTGTAAATTTCCTCCTGACAAAAATCATATGAGAGAGTTGAGCCAGGGTATTATTAATATAATTCCAGATAAAATTATCTGGTTGGCATTACCATAGGCATTAATTTAATATCTGGCCTGCATTAACATACTGTAAATTCTCGAAATAGTGGGCCGAAATTCGAAATAATGACCATGCACCTATTTCGAAAATTTACGGTGAACAAGAAATTCGATGATTTTTTTATCGGACACAAAATTAAGAAACCCGCACGGGATTTTTGAAGAAACTGCGATTTGCCCATCGCTACCCATTAGCGTTAGCATATACAGTATACTGTATATCAAAGCCGGAATCACATAAAAATGTAACATACAAAGGATCCGTGTCATTTCACCGATAAGTTTATTTTAACCAACAAATTTTAAATTACACTAACCTAAACTCTAATTCTAAACTTAACACTGACGACAATGATCTGAAATACTTTGTCTGTGAAATGAGTGTCGATGAATAAACTTAATAGTTGGTGAAACGAAGTGCCAACGAAATGATTGTCGGCGAAATGAGCGCCACGCATGCATTTGTAGCATGATTTCTAAAATCATCATATCGCCCATGCGTGCCTTGAAATAGTACACATCTTTTTATAACATATATTACAACAATTTGAGCATAGGCCTCAAAATAACGTGTAACGGTGCGTTATTTCGTGACTAGCGGTATGTTTCGTATACAATTAATTGATCTAAAAAAAAATTTTTTTTTACTAATTCACATTAAGTTGAATTGAAGTTGTACACATAATTTTCTTTTTTACTATACAGTATGATAATATGAAAAAAAACTAATAAAGTATATATCCACTTAAATTAGTGGAAGACTCTAAATTTCTACGTGTTTTAAAGAGTAAAATTCCGGTTTTGACTTTTAATAAAAAAGATCAAAAACGTAATTTTGTTATCTCGTTGTATTTCTATTTTATGTTCATGAAACAATGCAAATTTACGTGTTTCGAACGCGGACGACCGACCAAATTTTTGTAAGATGCGAAATTAAATCTTATACTTCAAACCAAACCCGTAATAGTCTCCTTTCCGGTATAAAGTATTCGTGATTTTTTCTATATCGATAATAAAAAAAAAAAAATTATATAAAAATATTTATCACCACAAAAAAAAAAATCACGGATCAAGTATAGCTGACACCATCAGCAAAATTTCCGAAAAGCCATATCATGGAACACATGATGTGGCATTAATGGCTTGGTTTTTGTAATGAGCCACATTAGCGAAGCCATTCGAACAGATCACGTGATCACGTGAAACGGCTAGTGTGTCTAATTCGTGATTACACGAAAATCAAGCCATTAGCACCACATCACGTGATCATGTGATGTGGCTTTTTCGGAAATTTTGCCGATGGTGCCCGTTATACTATATTTGATCCATACTTTATTTACTAACAAACATATACACCCACCCATCAGGAAATAAAAAACTTATTTATAATTTGCTTTGTGCAATTGGTTGACTCCAAACTAATTTACTTTTTTTACTTTTTTGTAAGGCTAGAAGTTGGTTTTTCAAAAAAACATAATCTTTGAATAAATCATAGAAAAGGTTTATAATATAGACATTTTCCTAATTGTCACCTTTTAAGCCCAATTCTTTTAAATTTACGCTAATAGACTCAATTGTTTTGTCTATATGTTCTCTCTCAGGTTCTGTTACGCTAATACCCATATGACTAAACGAATCAAGATCGAGAAATTTTAAGGTAAAAAAAAAAATTAATAAAGTTATATATATATTCGACGACCTAACAAAAAATGAGAAATAGAATACTTACCCAATTCTAAAGTATTTAGGACCAATTACTTTATGTAATCCACCTGCAATTACAACACCATGTGCTGCAACCTTGGGAATAAGATCAGTTGCTTTGACACCTTCAGGATAGTAGACGGCTGTCATTCCGTTAGCAGAAAGTTCTCTATTTTTTGGAACCTGTGATGAATTAAAATTTGAAGAATTATTTTTTAAAAATTACAATAAGAAATTTTAATAATAAATTTAATATAATATTCATACAAATTTTAATCCCAATTTCTCAAGAGAATCTTTGATACGGTTGCTGACTTCTCTGTGTTGCTGGAAACGTTGCTCAAGTGGTCTTGAAGTGATTTGTTTGAGACTTGTATGAAGTGCCATTATTAATTGAACCGGTGGAGTGGCAAAATACATTGCTTTCCTACTTTCATAAGCATTCATAACTATATTGATGATAAATATTCAATTAATTTCATTAATTTCTCTTAATTTGTAATATTTTTAGCAAAATAGAGCAATAGTAATAATGATAATACTTGGTAGCCAGTTACTCCATGACGCATAATAACTATTAATTCGAGTTTTGCGGTTATGGAATACATTCTTGTTTAATAAAAAGACAATTAGTATAATGATGATAATCCAGATACAGTAGAAATAAATATTTGTAATTTTATTGCATACCATAGCTCTTTCGCTTGCAACCAAAATACATAATCCTGGAGGAACGCCAAGAGCCTTTTGACTTGCAGTTAAAACAACATCAATGTTCCATTCATCCATACGAATTTCTTCTGATCCAACGGAACATACACCATCAACAATTACCAAAGTTTCAGGAGAAACCCTTTTAACCAATTCCGCTATTGCTTTTACGTCTGAAAGCACACCAGTAGATGTATCCACATGAGTAATTGTAATAGCTTTGAATTTTTTTTGGGTTAGTGCTTGATGAATTTCTTCTATAGAGGGACGATCACCGATATCTGCTTTGACTTGCGTAACTTTTGCGTCATAAGTTCCAAGGCTATATTTAGAAAATGATTAGTAAATTGATTAATAAAAAATTATATAAAGCATAAAAAAACGTGAACTCACCAAACTGTAAATGAATCGCCAAAGTAACCAGTATTTAAGACTAATACATCTTCGCCTGGTTCTATTAAATTTGAAGCAACCATATCCCATCCAAGAGTTCCGGAACCAGAAACAACAAAAGGTTGAGCTCTTTCCGTACAAAATACCTTGCGTAAAAGTTCAATGGCTTCACCAAATATAGGAATAAATGAAGCTGAAACATGAGAAGTTGCGAGCGTAGACATTGATGATAGTACATCTTCATGAAACTCCACAGGACCTATTGATCCGATTAATAAAATTAAAATTTTTAATAGCAAGAATTATGAAAGACCAAATTAAAATTTCATCTTTACCGGGAACCATGCATAATTTATGATTTGCTTGAGAACTCATCGTAGATAAATATCTTTTTGAATTGGAAAAGATCAGAAAATTTATGAAAGGCTTTTTAAAGATATTTAAGCTAGCTGAATAATGATTAACAAGCCTCGACGAATGGGATATAAAATAACCTCTCTGCAGATTTAACATACACATAATAATAACCCGAGATTTTTGAGATTACGTACGCATGTGCATATGTATCACCAATCAAAATGTGTCACAATCAAAATGGAATAACGATTGTAAAAAAAAAAATATCCAATGCAAGAAATGATTGATATGCATCCTGGATTTTATTATGTTACAAATCAGAATTTTATCCAATCGAAAATTTAAACATTATCAAATTTTCTTGGACTGACTAAATTTAGTAGCAAAATTGGCTTTCAAAATTATTTTATTTAGAAATAGATTTACAGAAACCTCCAGATGTGGGTAAAAAAACTTTTTTTTAAATCATAAATAATTGGATTAGTAACTTATAATAAAGAATTGAATTGGACCAATTGAAATCAATTTTAACTGATTAGAACTGATTAATCAACGACTGGATAAAATTTTTTACTTTAGAATAAGAATTTATTCCATGAAAGTAATTACTAATTTTAGTTAGTAGATCGATTCTTTGCTTAGTTGGTCATTCTTGCACTAGTGTCTTGGTGACAGGAGTAGTTAAATATCCTGTTATCAAATCATCAAGTAAATATTTATCCCGTGTTAAATTATTACTTTTTAAACAATAGCGTAGGAGGTTTCAGAATTAACTTATTTCAGGTATTTTTCTGATTTAAAATTCCGAATCCGAAAATTAAATAAGCGGGGCAGATGATAAAATTAGCCTCTTTTGATAAAAATCTACCGGTAAAGCGATCACGTAAATAAGTATACACTTTAAAAAATAGAGTTTATACTTATTTTATGTTTATTCGAATTTTTTCTGATAATCGCACGTTTATTTAAAATGTGATACAGCTATACAAAATCAATATTCTTATTATCATTATTCATGATAAAAAAAAACTGCTACATAGTCTGCCAAAATAAGTATGATTAATATCCTACGAAATTTTTTTATCCCTTTGAATAGGTATTATCTTTTTTAATAGAAGTTGCATTCTGAATCCCCAAATAAGCGTTACCATTGCAATTGATATAATTTTTATATAGTACATGTAAAAAAAGAAAAAAAAAACGAGAATCTCGCTAATTATATAAATATATCGATATCCTATTTTTAATTTGTGAGAAAAAAAAATTAATTATTTTGATATAAAAGTTAAAAAATTCCGAATTGGAAAATGTCTTGTATGGGGTGCGCATTTGTTTAGAGACTTGCATGGGCGTTAATTTTGAGCTCTATTTTTATGACAATGCGATACTGATTGAAGTTAGCGGTTATAAATTTTCACAATGGAGAGTTTCATAATTAAAATTAGAGAATCTTATTTTATTTTTTCGATTTATACTTCAACATATATAGTAAAAATGCTATTGAACAATCCTCTTATTTTCGAAATGCATCACGTCATTTAGACTGTCTATCGCTATATTTTTGAGCAGATTCAACATAGTTCAAACGTTATATTTCCATTACAACTCCAGATTACGTCAATCTCGATTTTTAAATTCATTCAGATTGCAAATATTAATAACGATAATGATTATATTTTAACGTTTATTGGTATAAATAAATGCATATTTAGTTTTGAAAAACGCGTTCTAAAATTTTAAATTGTACAAATGATAATCTAATACAGTTACATTTGTAAACTAATTTAAGACTATATAGCTACTATTGGTTTTAGAAAAGAGTAGAGATCCTAAAATATTTTTTTAAAATTGTATCATTTCTATAAATTTTAAAATGCAAAAATTAAAAGAAAATAGAACAAATTTGACATTTTGCGATAATTATGCAAATGCTTTAGATTATTATTATTACATGATTCTTTTCAAGTTTTTTCTTTAGTCAAGTTTTTTAGTCAATTTCTTTTTATTCATTTTACAGAAGTATTTGAATTGGAATTTGTATCCTATTACAGAATCATAAAATTCATGTTGAAATACCGTAAATTTTCTATAATTGCTTACAAAGCTTTTCAACGCATTTTTTATGGATTTTCTACCGCATCTTTCACAAATTTTCAATATTAAAATTGCCTTCGATTTCAATATTATTTTTACTACAGAATTATATGTAAATAAAATACTGTATTATTCATATTTAACAGAAGATTAGTGATTGGACCCGGTTGGAGTTTTAGTCATCCGGGTGGGTCACCCGACGGGTGACCCGTGAACAATAATTGAAAAGCTTTACTAAACTTCATCCAAATATACACTTGTATGTATATTAATTGTCTTTTTTTTTTTAAAAAAAAAAAAAAAAAACTTTTCAAAACGGACTAAGTGTGTTCTCAAGCACCCACTCAATGGATCCCCATTTCGATGAAAGACCAGCGAGTTACGAACTATCTTATTTCTTTAAAATCTTACCATTGATAAAAGTCGCTCAAGAATTACTTTTACATTTTTTACATATCAAGCATAATATACAATGAATTCTCGGTAAAATTTCTACCCGATCCAAAAAAAATTACTATTTTATTTTAATGCTAGAGACTTTTAAACCAAACTACTACTATTACTTAGAAATATATTTGTATATACAAGTATGCGTAATAACAGGGGACATCGGGTGGCTCATGAGTCCACCTGACGGGCTGCTTTTTTTTAACCTACCCGGGTGGCTCATGGGTCCACCCACGGGTGACCCGGGTGGTTTTTTTTGACGGGTCCAATCATTACAAAAGATCACGACTCTTCTTTTTTATTTTAATATATAATAAAGAGTTTATGTTGATATAACAATAAAATTTTTTAACGTTAATTCGAAAATCGGAGTTAACGTAACCTATCCCAGATTTTCTATGCACAAAGCACAACATTACAATATCAAAATATCTGCAAATTTCAAAAAGTAAAGACGTGTTCCTGATGGATGAAAAAAAATATCGATTTACCACTGTTGAAATATTATGCCAAAAATACTATTCCTGATAGGGTTAAAAAGGTTTTATTTGACTACTGTTCCTGATAGGGTTCTAAAATGAACCCGATCCTAATTTTTTTCATAACTTCGCTATAGTTGTGTAGTATTTTAGAGGCTCTTTTTTAGAACCCTATCAGGAACGGTACGTAAATCGATTTCTTTTTCCTACCTTATCAAGAATAGTACCGACGACCTATCAGGAACGGCATTTTTGTCTTCATATCACTTGAAATACTGTAATTATTTTGGCTAATGCCTAAAATTCCGGGTACGTACATTTGATATAAATATTCGTGCCCAATTTCTTAATAGTAAACAAGACATGATGGCTCCAGAATAAAAATCGTAGAACGCGTTTTCAGTTTAAAAAATTTATGTATTATCAATATTTATTTATTATATACACGCGTCTCTTTTTGTTATATGGGGACCACCAGGCCCTACTCGGCAGTTCAATACGAAGGGTAGCCTACTTGGTCGGACAGACTAAATGCTGGATAGCAATGTTCCAAGTTTTCACACAAATCTTTCGTGTTCAACACAGTGTAAAGAAAAGAGACTGCGGAATGAGTCGATTTTTGGGAGAGTGTCGCAGGGGTCCCGATTGTTCGATACGAAAGGGAGGTAAGGGTCAGAGCAGCGATTGCCTGTGCTCAACCACATTATGCGAACGATTATCTTGACCCCAGGAGGGTGATTATTAAGAATAAAATATAATGAGTTGGTTTTTATTCGGTTTGTTAATTATCATTATTATTTTCTTCTTTTCAAATGACCAAGTTTGATAATTTAATGTTAAATTCAGACTCTTGTGAACCTCAAACTGGAATTAGTAGGTTTTTCCATTACAACCACCTTGAAATGACTGTCTATTATTAGAAGTAGTGATGCCAACTAAACGTTTTAACATCACTATGCTATGCTTAGGTTTTATCACATGATAAACCCGATTTGACATATATTGTAGTTACTGTAAAATTGTTAAATAAAAAAGATATAACTGTAGATAAAAAAAATATTGATTAAAATTGAATTATTTTTATGATCAAATTACGTAAACGTCAGACTACCGTATTATAAATTAGAAGATTAAAGCATCAATTTAACAATTTACTTTTTTCAATATGTCAAATAATATTGATAATAATTTGATGCTACTAACGATTATTCAGCTTTTTCAACTAATAAATCTAATTCTGATGATTGACCTCGAAGTATTGGATGTCTTTAATGATGATGAAAATACTATTCAATCCGATGCAAATTTTCTAGCATTGACAAAGAGGAATACCCATCGTAATGGAATCACATTTAGCTAACGAATGTATTAATTGCCCAGAAGACAAACAAAAACTGACAAGATAAAATTGATAATCGAAATAATATGCTCAAATAAATTTTTTGGTTTCTTATTTCATTGTTTTACCACAAGTATATAAAGTTTATCAGTTTATATTTTGATAGTTTTCACATTTTTAGTCTAACCCCCAGAAATATAACCAAAATTAATCTATCAAGTGGATAATTTATATTTTTATCAAGTTTTATCATAAGTATAGTTGGCATCACTAATTGGAAGTTCACAAAGTTTATATACGAAAGGACCCAACATTAACTGCAAAACAAGGTTCAATGAATTCATCCGAAACTTAATCTTAGTGTTGCAAAATATATCCAAGATCTTCGCAAAGCAAAACATAAAACATAATCGTATGGTCACGTTTTTTTTTTTTTTTTGATAAATTTACTTTCAAATAAAAACGAAATATTTGAAAATTATTGGCGATACTTTGATGGAAAAAAAACATATATTGTTTAATAGTAAGGACTATTTTAAGTAAGGGAATTCGAACTCAAAAATTTTAAAAGTCACGACAAAAAAAGATAAAGAAAATCAAAAAGTAATAATACGGTATATATAGATGGTCATGTAAACACGTATCTTTGCAAATGTTAT